GTTCGAGCTGGTAGTTCCGATTTGAGTCAATATTCAAATTTATGAATTTGAGATGTAGGCATTTTTTGCTTCTTCAGCTTCTCTAACTACTATTCCATCGCATAAGAATCCCCTAAACCCTTCTTTTGTCGCATAACAGACATGGTAGTCACCACCAATTCCTCATAAAGTCCATCTTTTTCCCTTTATCGTCGGTTTTCTCAAAATACTGTTTTTCTATGTACTTTTTAGGATAACTCCGCCATTTTTTAATCCAGTCTTGATTAAATTGTACAGACTGAAGAGAAGATGTAACACTATAAAATTGGTGGTTGAATTTTTAGTGTGGACTTTTCACAGATTTTTTTTTTTTTTTTTGCAACCTTGAATACGGCCCCAACAAAAAAATCATTTAAAATGTTCTAAGTCGTTTAGGGGTATTTCAACAGACAATTTTGTAGAACTATTGTTTGCTGACATGCAAGCACAATAACAACTCATTTCCATTGCAAATAAGTAAGGTATTTGCTGTATGTATTAGGCCTGTTAAGAAACCCAATATGGCCGCAGTCCTCTTTTTTTAAAAAGTTGATTGCAGTTTTGAAGACTCCTTATTAGATCTATGCTTGTTGAATGTGTCAAATTTAGTAAAATTTTATCCACAAATAAGCTAGATAGCCTTCAGCTGACACCCCCGTTAAAAAAACAATAATTTCTTTCAAAACCAGTACTCGGCTGCACAGTCTTATATCTAAGGAAAGGTTTCGCAACTAAAGCCAGCTCTTGAAATTGGTCAAAGCTTGTTTTGATTAAAAACACGCTCAACCCATAACGAGAACTCAGACTATTTAGAACACAAAAAGCCTGCATGGAGAACAGCATTGTTCAGCGGGTGGGGAATGACATGTCAGTGGAAGCTGGATGCCTACAACCCACAGACAAAACGTCAAAACAAAACACAAGGAAAACGTTGAAAAAAAAAACGACTTTAGTGAACATTGCTTCAACTTCTATTGCTACCTTTTGTTTAACAAGACTCAGTGAAGACAACGCAATAATGTTCAAAAGAATGTTCATCATATCAGTGACCATTATGTTACCTATGCCTGTTATCTGTCAGTCGGTCTTTACGCATAAACGTACGAACATACGTACTTGCGTACATGTGCGCGCGCATTTGTGTGTGTGTATATATATCTAGCTGTGTGTGTGTATGTGTGTGCGTGCGTGCGTGTATGTCATGTAAATTATGTATGTATGTATGTATGTATGTATGTATGTATGTATGTATGTATGTATGTAT